AAACTGAAAGTTGTATTTGCAAGACACGGGGTACCCAAAGTCTGCATTTCTGATAGTGGACTTCAGACCTCGGTATATTTTTCTAAGTTTATGCTGGAATGGGAAGTTAGGCCTACTCATTTGAAATCAAGATCCCCAGTACACTGTTAGTAGCACAGCATATTTTCAATATGGAGGAAGCAATTATATTTTTTAATACATTTAAAAACTTATTTAAAAACAAGTGGGCAACTAATTCGCGTTAATGAGGAGATTTGCTAGGAAGAGAAACTGTCTCGCATTGAGATATTGTTAAAATATAGCTCAATTCTTTTGTTTTTTAGTTGGCAACAGTAAAGGTCAGTCCTCTACCATATATTACTTATTATATATTATACTAGACATATGTTACCCGCGGGTCTTTATTTGCGCATTACTGTCGATATAGTCACTGAGAGTGTTTTGTAAACAATGAAACGAAATAATAATGTAATAAGTAAAGCGAATGTGTCAATGTAAAAATAGTGTGAGTGAATCTATCAAATCAAAATAGCTAATAGGCTTAAATCCATTTTTTTCAAATTAAAACATGTGCTTGTAGGCCTACATATATTTGATTAAAATTTGAGATGAGTGGACTTAATTTTGTATGTTCATGTGTTACAGTATAAAGTAGATCTTGAGGTAGACATAGATCTAAATCTACACTAATCTAGTGTTAAAAATTGGCTTTTATAGAGTTCATTCTGTGTTGCGCATGCGTGACCTTTTTCATGAATGAATGAATATAGGCATATCTCAACACGGCTACGTAGCTTTAGCGAACAGCGAAGGAATGTATTAAAAATGCTTTAGAAAAACAAATTTGAATGTTAATTTAATTAAAATATGAAATGAATGGACAATAATTAGTATGGTTATGTGTTAACGCATAAAACTATCGTTGCGAAAAGAAGTTTTATCATCTTAGAGTTCAATAAGAGTTTTAGACCTAGGCCTAGGAATAGACTCAGTAGAGTGATGTGTTAATGTGTAACCGTTTGGTAATGTTTAATGAAAGAATGTTCGCCAGGAAATCTGTAGTCACAGATATCAGGAACTAATTTATGTAAAAAATGCTTTTGAAACACAAAATTGAAGGTTAATTTTATTATATAATGAAATCAATGGATCTTCTTTTGTATTTTCATGTGTCAAATTAAAAAACTTTCTGCGCAAAGTGTATTTCTTAAAATTAAATCTAGGTCTAAATCCTTTCCATCTTTTCTCATAAATACTACAGCTTTAATAGAGTCGGACAACTTTTTTTTTTTTTTGAGGGTCTTAAGTTTGTTTTAGGGCTACAATACATACACTACGGTCTAAGTTAGTACCCAAGGAACATTCCTGCCTAGTTTTATCAAGATTGGTCAAGCGGTTTTGATGTCTATAAGTAACATACATACATACATACGCCTCACATTCCACTTTATAATATAAGATAACTCTATGTCCTCTACATTATTTAGTTTATCGTGAATAATTTTGTTAATTCGCTTTTTAGTTCTACGGTATATAGCACAGAAACATAACTTCATAACAATTCAAAATTACAAAGTTTGCAAAGTATTATTATGAAAGTATTTTTAAAAAAATGTGTGTGGGCATGGGAACAATGAGCCCCCTCATTAGGGCGAGTATATGTTTTGTTGACAAATAGTTATATAACTAACAGGAGAGGGAACATCGGCGAGTAACTGGCACCTTAACCAGTAGCCTAGACTTCGGGCCGACTATAATACCCATTTAGGAGAAGGGAAACTCCGTATGCTGCCTTTCAGTTATATCATAACACGGGAAAAGCTTTGGGAGTCGACTTTGAGGAAAAATCAGGATGCGGTGAACCTTACCAATAGGCAGGTTGCAGTCCATAGTGCTACACCCTGGCATAACCTGCAACGACGATGATCACAAACTGTATCTGCACCTTTGGATGCACGATCAAATATGTCGAGAGGAAGAGATAACTGCAGTGCGGGCAGCATCTTTCTGAGTCTGACCAGATGCACTAGCCTAAAGTTATTTGTAAAAAATTAGTTATAGTTGTTTCAGACTGAAGGATGACATAGTCAGTAGTGTCAGCAGAAGCGATTTCAGCCACTTAAGGTGCTGGACCTGCAGTAGTCAGAGACTATTTGAGACGCGAACCATTCTGGACTATTTCATTGACAAGGGGAGCTTATGACCCCCCTAGCTACAACAACTGAGACGTATGCAAATAAATTCTTAACATGTAGATGAGCAACTGACTATCTTAACGTGAAATAAATAAACGACTCCACCGAGTGTCTTTAAAATTTGGTAGTAAGTGTCTGTTTTTTAATTTTCTTTATAATAATAATTATCGCTTTTATATAGCGCTACTTTCATGCTTATAGCATGCTCAGAGCGCTAAGGTCTTTTTGTTTAGTTGGCACACAGCAGTTTAGTTACGACAGCAAGTGTCAGAAGGTCAAATTAAATTTAATTATAATGCATAATATTCGTTGAAGAGTAGTCCTAATACCTACGAGAGGATTTTCAGATTTCATAATTTTGATTTTATAAGCTAAAGGTCTTTTTTAGGCTAAATGCAGACATAGTTGATAAAGTCTTTAAATAAATATTTAAGGGCTTACAAGACAGGAATAAGGTACTATTTATGTAGTTAAATGTAAAAAGCATTTTTCACAATAAGTTTAACAACCAGCGTATTTCAGCAGCTGATGTAAAGTCCTCGAAATTGTAATGGGTTTTTGTTGTATATCAGGAACAAAAGTCAGAATGTATGCAGCCTAGATGATTGTATAATATATAGAACACTTATCTTATTATGATAAACCAGTTACACAGACTAAAAACTCCAAATAGCTAGGTGTTCTAATAAATGAAATTTATCATGGAATCCTCATTTTAATGAAATTATAAAAAATCAAACAAAGAATTAGGGTTTGTTTAAAAGAAATTTTTACAAATCAATCAAGAAAATAAAACTAAAATGTTATTTAACCATGGTTAGAGCAATATTAGAAAATGCAACCTTTGTTTGGCACCACTCAACTCAAGAGAACATAAAGCAACTATAATAGATCTAGAACAGATGCAAAACAGAGCAGTAAGATTTATAACAAACGAATATTCACATTTGATTAGAGTAAGACCTTTAGTAAAATCACTAAATTTAGAAAGCCTTCAGGACAAAAGGCTAAAATATAAAGTAGCAATTATTGGAACGCTGAATAATAATCTACTACTAATAATAAAAAAATATCAACTAATAAAATACCGAGAAAGACACAAAGATAAAGGGACATTTCTCATTCCATAAACTAGGACTGAGGGCCAAAACTAAAATCAGAGCCACCCTCATAAGAGATATGTTATTCGCGGCAGTGGCACACTCACAAGAGGAGCTCCAGTCACTATTGTCCCACTTCTCTCAGGCCTGTAAAGACTATGGCTTAACTATTAGCACGAAGAAAACAAATGTTATGGGACCACCACCCTCCATCCTGATAGACGATAACAAGCTGGATGTTGTAAATGAATTCTGCTATTTGGGATCCACAATTCAAGATGACCTGTCTCTAGAAGAGGAAATTAAAAAACGCATAGGGAAGGCTGCCTCGACCTTCGCTAGACTCAGGTCAAGAGTTTGGGAAAACAAGAAGCTCACTACAGTGACCAAAAATGAAAGTCTGCAAGGCTTGCGTTATGAGTACACTACTGTATGGCAGTGAATCATGGACCACTTACGCAAAGCAAGAGAGAAAACTAAACTCATTCCATTTGCGATGTCTCCGAAGGATCTTGAAAATCATATGGAAAGAAAAAGTGTGCAATACTGAGATCCTTGCGCGAACAGGTATGCCCAGCATCTTTACAGCCCTCAGACAACGCCGCTTGCGCTGGCTTGGACATGTTCGCCGGATGGAGGACAATCGCATCCCGAAAGTCATCCTCTACGGACAACTCGCGACTGCCCCCACCTCCGTTACATAGACATAATAAAACGGGACCTCATATCAGTGAACATCAACACTGACCATAGGGAAGACATAGCTCTAGACCGCACCAGATGGAGAGAGACAGTGACCAAGAAAGCTATGGACAGCAAAAGAACATGGGCCTCAGCTCTGGTAGAAAAACGGACAATGCGAAAACGGCCAGCTCCTCTACCACCGAAGCAAAAGCCACCTTAACCTGCGATATTTGTGGACGGGAGTGTCTCTCCAAAATAGGGCTCCACAGCCACATGAAAAAGTGTGCGCGATGAACCATAGTCGTTCTACGACTGAAGGAGGCCAATTAGCTAGGACAAATTTGTACAAATGCTCCTTCTTCCCTAGTGCTATTAGAGCATTGAATGGGTTGCCTGACCCAGCCAGGAAAACCAGTGACTTGGCAGAATGTAACATGCATGACTAGAGTCACACGGGGACATGCGTAGGACATAATCCTCTTCTCTATTGAAGAAACATCTAATAAATTTATAAGATTAGAAGATAAGATGTGGTCGCTTTGTATTATTCTACCAATCCAAGGGCAACCATATAAGATGATTGAGAACCATATGAGGGTACTGAGAACTATATGAGGGGTTTGGGAATCATATGAGGTGATTGTCACTGAAACAAATTTTTAATTGATAACAATCATTTCAGATTTAGTCAAGAATGATTTGTAGGTAACACATGTGTAAGTAAATTATGTCTATTATCATTTGCTGATACAAATGCCAAGGGACGTTTTGTAATCTAGATATTCAAAACATAAAACATAGCAGGGTTTTTCTATTACATTCTCTAGTGGTGTTTTCAACGAGTTTTCAAATAATTTAAATAATGACTTTAAAAACATGTTTGCTTAGAGTAACTGATTCCTACAGAAAGTTCAGATTTTAATGCCACAAGCTACATGCAGGCTATTATTTCTAATTTTTGAAAATAATTATTATTTTAAATTGTATTTTTATAGCATAGAAGATAAAGAGTTTCATACAGCTCATTCATTCCACTAAGTTATGATACTATTGCCTCATGATTTTTTATTCCTAAAACCACATCAAATCATGAGCATTGAGATCCACGATATTGGTTTTACTGTCAACTGTGAGTTAACAAAGTCATAATACAAACAATGTCATAATACAACTATACAGAAAATCACAAGAAACTGAACAAGACATCAATTGTGGTGCAAAAAATGTCAAACTTTTTTTTAACAAATAGCATCAAAATCTGAAATATTACGCTTGTTTAAAGCACATAGAAACCAAAAGATTTTCTAGCATCTAAAAGCCAGACATTAAACAGTGACATAATTATCATACAATAGACATCACAACAGTTAATAAAAAAAACAACAACAACACAGCAATTATCCTTAAATAAACACAATAAAACACTAAAAAACACTGTAAAAATAAAACCCTGTATAAATGAAGCACATTTAATGATGTGAAATCAGTAACTTATCAGGTATAAACAATTACAGTCATTGTGGTTTGGAATACTAAGCAAGCTATTTGAAATAAATTAGGCCAATGAATGTGTGGTAAATACAATTTGTAGACACTACATTAATTAATAGCATAAGCAGAATTCACATTTTTTCCCCTTTTTGTCAAAAAAAAAATTATTTTTTGTATTTACATAATTTTAAGTCAAAGTGCTAGAAATTAATATGTCTGAAAAGGATGAATTACTTGATCTAGTATAAATAGTTTGCTAAGAAATTGAACTTACTATTTTCTTTTGAATCTTGACATAGATTTCTACTAAATAAAAACATTTAAGATTTCTGCTAACTGCAAACATTTTAAATTTTAACATGTTTCTGGGTATAATTTTAAGAAAAGATGATTTAGTGGATTTTGAATATTTGTATAATTTAAACTATACCTTTCTAAAAATAAAAGCTAATATTGAAGTAAAATTATGCCTATAAATCAATTAGTGCACCATAATTTGCCAACAATAGTAACATGTAAATATTTTATTGTTGTTCAGAAAAGAAAAGTATGTATAAATATTGAGAATTAAATTTCACAGAATATGAACAATTTTTTTTTGATGCGATAGGCTATAATATTTTAACAAAAATTAAATATTATTATTCAATAAAGATTTTAATTTTATAATTTTTCTATAAACTATTTATCTAAACTGAACTTTTTTTTCGATCAACAAATGAAAATTAAATAATTATGATTTTTTTCATTGTTCTTGAAATATAGACACTATTGAATTACATCTAAAGAACGCACACTATAAAAACAAAATATGAAAAAAATTTAATGAGTAAATGAAGAGAGTAAATAAGAAAAAAAATTGTAAATGCCTTTAAAGGGTTTGGAAAAGAACATTATAAATTAAAATAATTAAATGATGTGTAGAAAATAAAACAGTAAACAACATCCTATCATTTAAAGGACACAGCTTATATGGGAGGGTTTCCTGTTCCTGATTTTATACATTCACACTACTAAACTATATATTTCAAAAAACAGCTTGAATCCTACTTAATGGAACAGAAAGTTACAATTTTTAGGAAGAGAAAAAAAACAATCAAATCAAGTCAAGGCAGAAAATTGACTAAAGTAGCACCTGTATCGGATTTCTACAATCATTTTAAGTTTAACAGTTTAAAAGATAATTGTTGTGGCAACAAAACTGTAATGTTTTTATTCTCGCCAAAGATTTAGATAGTATATTTAGTATTATTTAGTACATGATGTTAATCTCATCTTTTAAATAACTTACACAAAATTGATGTTTGCCTAATACTGCCATAATATTTTATTATTTTTTTAAAACCAAGATGAAAGTCTTTGAAAAATGATTTTAATTAATCTTTAAATGAATTAGAATCAATTAGTTCATTTTATTTAATGTAACAAAAATAATGTACTATTTTTGCTTTTTTCCAAAACCATTATCACAAATTGAAAACACTGGAATCAACAAGATTCACAAGTCACAGCCAAGCATGACCAAATTTGAGGAGTATAAAATAAGTTTAAAAATAATCCAATTTTTTTGAACAGAAAATAAAAAGGCTAAATATATTATATATTAAAATATTTCTTACGTGTATAACATTTTAATTTTTATGGACTGCATTTTTAAAAAATGAAAAAACCATATAACTAATTGCTTTGTAACAGCTTTTTACAATGATAATAATAAAATGTTATAAAATGCATGATTTTAATTCTCGTACACATGAATGCCAGTTAGATAAAAATATAGCTACAATGCTATATTCAAAATAAAAAAAGAGAGTGTGAATGGTACTACAAACAAAAATGCTATTCTGAGCTTGTTCAGATGTAGCTAAAGGAAAGGACTAATGTAATAAATTATACATCTTTATAGCACTTCATTATGTATGAATAGGAGAAAAAAACACATTTTTTAATGTAGAAAAAAAAAAAGCTTAAATTAGGATAGTAATACAAATATTGTACACCTTACACTTCTAAATGACATATATATATATATTAGATATATATATATATATATATATAATGGACTACCGAAATTCAAATAAAAACTCGAAATACTTTAATGTTCTTGATTCTGAATAATGCTATTTGATACATTCTTAGTATTTTTGTGTGTTTTTTTTAGCTCAATTATAGCACTGGTAAGGCCTGGCTAGTAGGTTTATTTCTTATCTCCTGTGTTAATAGTTAGGACAAATTTTAAGAAATGTCTAGGGTTTAAACATTTTTTTAATGCTAACATTGCTCAAGGTTACACATTTTTGTTAATATTAGGCACCTACAATGAAAAATTCAAATTGCAGCCTACAAACATTATTTTTCTCAAGCATTGTTCTGTGTTTCTTCTTAAAAAACATGGTCGACAAGAGCTGACTTTGCATGTTCTGAAAAGTGTGTGATTACGAAATTAATAAGACTCAATGCAAATCAAATGTAATGTTCATAAGTAGACATACCAAAGACTAAAGAGAGTACAAGCTAAAGATATTAATTTTCATCAGCATCTGTATTTAGATGTACTATTCTTAAATTTTTTTTTTAAAGCATGAACAGAAATGATAGCAGTTTGTCCCAAAATAAGCTTTCCATCTGTGTAAATCCACTGGTAAATAGTGTTTTTAGAAGTAAAGTTTACTGCTGGGAAGGTTGTGTTTCCAAGTTGTTTAGAATAGAAATTCTCCATTAAATTTCTCCATTATTAAGTAGCAAATATGGTTTAGGTAAATGTTTATTTACACAGGCTTTATATCATTCACAGCTGAGTTGATACAATGCAGTGATTGAAGTTCTCAGCTGTTGGGAATTATGTACCTATTAAGTGGGTAAGCCATTAACAGCACTTTTCAAGTAGCAGGGGACTGTTTTGGCTTATATCTTAACTAATCCTCATAGATTTTTCAGTATTGCAGCAAAGGCCTTGTCAGAAAAATCATCAAAACTACAACCAATAAATATTTGTGAAAATTCAATCCAGTGTAAAGGTTTTGATTTACCTTTCCACTTAGACAAAGCATGTTTGACTTAGCTACTATATCTCTAAGTCCAATGAAAGAACAGAAGTCAAGCAAGAAACCATTATTTGGCAACCTGTAGTTAACAACTCCAATATGCTATGAGTGTCTGCTTCCTTCTGTTGACTCGTTCAGGTTGAGTAAACATGGATGATTATTACTTAAAATAATCTTTTGGCCCCCCCCCCCCAAAAAAAAAAAAAACAAATTAAAAAACACGTGTGTATTCTCTTCAGCTGATAAGCACAAACACATGGAAAACAGTGAGAACCAGTAGATGATAAAACAACTGGAGCATTATTTTTATATTTTTTTTCTTATACATAAGTGAAATTCCAAGCAAGGAAAATTATATTCCTGATAAATCAAATAAAGATGTGCTTCATAAAGAAAGAAATGTTTAGGATTGAAGTTTGAATTAAACATATATTGATGTTGCAATAATACAAGTTAGCCAAATGATGACTTTAATAAGATACTCCTACTATGCACTGGCCTACATAACAAACTCCAACTATGCACTGGCCTACATAACAGAGCAGCATTTATTTCTTCTTTTTTTGTCAGAGTCATGTACTTGTAAATCTCCAGACAGTCCACCACCAGGGCCTGACTGAGTTAAGGGTATTGACTGACCATCACTGTCTGGAATTGTAAGTTTAACATTGTCCGGCGAGGCGGCAGCACCATCCGCTGCTTTCCCATTTTCCTTTGGCTGCAAGCCATCTCCCTGAGGGACAGCAGCTAGGGTGTTCCCAGCAGACTGTGGGGATATCCGCTCCTCCACATCGCCAGGGTAGGTCGGAGAGCTGGGCTGCTTCTCGCTGTCATAGGTTTGACCATCTTGATCAATGATTTGAACTTTTTTGGCAGAACGCTGTTTTTGTTGTTGTTGTTGCTGTTGTTGTTGCTGCTGCTGCTGTTGATGCTCCTGCAGAGTTCTCTTTTCTTCCTCATTGAGGTAGAAGTTGTCTCTGATGATAGTGGCTCTCCTCAGGAGATCCTCAGCTTCCCTTGACAACTCACCACCAGGCAGAAATGGGTTGTCTCTGCTTTCTAGACTGTTGAAGAAACAGAAGTATACAAAATTAGATTTAAAAGTTATAATTTGTGTCTTTTGATTGAGAAGAAACAAACAATTGTTCTAACTTTTGCTTTAGTCTTCTAAATGACTTCACTATTAGAATAAAGTCTTGAAGTCTTTGTCATTGAATTTTGTAATAAGACATTAAACTTCTAATAATTAAACCAACCAATAGCAAATGTACACGTTAAGACAGATCATGAAGTCTGACTACTAAGATGCAGCATTACTTCTTGGAGGGATGCAAATTCATACAGTCATCTTCTCTTTTAATTGCTTACTTGTTAGTTGTGTTGATTGCTTAAAATGCTAAGGAGACAAGCACCAGTTCTATTATCTTATCATAAAGATCACAGACATTACTTCAAAAAAAAAAAATTATGTCCTACGCATTTTATGTGTCAATCTAGTCATGCAGGTTAATCTATGACTTAAACTCTGCTAAGTAATTAAATTAAACTAAATTTTAACTTAGGTAAATTGTAATTGGCAGTAGCGTATAGGACCAACTATGTTTAGTTTCATTAAGACATTGGTTTGTTACACAACGCACTAGGAATGATACAACAGCAATAACAGCCAAGCTTCTAGAGATAGTATCAGACGTTTGCAAGAAAATCGAAAAAAGTAAAGAAGAAAATGTTGAAACATATTCATGGTATTGTTTTTTTGAATAATAAAACAATAATAAGTAAGAGTTTTCTAAAGCTCAAACTAATATTATTATATGTGAAATGTAATGTACACTTTTAAAAACTTTATAATGCTGTTTTGTTTTACCAAAAATAACTTTTTAAAATTCTGAGCCATTTGTCCGTTTGGTACCTAAAAACTTCAATGCCTTCTTCCACATTTGGTATCAACAAATGAACCAGAACTCTTTAGTGTAAAGTAATCGATCATTCAGAAACAAGCAGACTATAAACGCGTGCTTAATATAACACTAACAAATAACAAAGACAAACCATTTATAACTATTTTTGGTTTCCTGGAGCTGTAGGAATTTTTTGGGAGGTTTGAATGAATGGACAAAGCGAAGAGATGGGAAAGAGAGACGTGCTCCAGTGAAAGCCTTACAGAATAAAGTAGTCGAGAAGTGAGAGGTGGCTCTGTCGCGTGCAAGCATTTTATGAAAGGGAGAAGATAAAACTGATGTCAAAAATAGGATGTCTAATTGATCTCTTTTAAGTTCCTTTGAAGCACATGTTAATGTAAATAATCAGACTTGACTTTCGTAAAATGTGTTTATAATTTACGTTTGCATTAAAACAAATGGATAGAGCTACACCAAGCTACATGTAGCCTACTTCAAATAATCCATGCACATTGTAAAAGTTTAATACGTATACATAAAAAAAACAACAACTAGAAAAACATAAAAAGGGGGGAGAGGGATATCTACGTGGATTTTACCGTAATTAATTTTTAAAAAGCATTAAAAAAAAATCAGGGTGGAACGACCTGATATCGAGCTCGCTTCCTCAGGCCGACGTGCTAATCACTCTTCTATGTATGTTTAGTTTCACCTAACCTATAAAGGGAACTAATTCAGCTTATACCACCACTTCAGTCAAGT